AGGGCATCTCCAGCAAATCATTTGATTTTATGCAGCTGGAACAAAGGCATGGCAGTGGACACACCAGAAAAGAGGGGTTACCCCTGGAGGAGAGGATGTCAAGGTGAATTTTGATTCATTAATTTGTCTAAATGATTGTTTAATAAAAAGCATGTAGCCAGCATTGCTTTTAAAAAGAAGAGACACGGGAAATACCCAGCTCTCTCAGGATAGTAAATCCAAGTGCTAGAAGAAGATGGTGCCCTTAGACAGTAATAGTCACATCCAGAGAAGGGGAAATGCCAGCTGAAGGCCTTGTTTTGCCTTACACCACCTATCCCATCTGGTTTGTCTACCAAAGCTATCCTGATGATTTTACAAAGAGGTGTATTTCCACCAAGCAACTGGACTCCATGTTAGTGAGAGAAAATAAACAGCTTTACAGATTTTAAAAGTTCCCTTCCCCAATGTGTGCAGCATATTATTTATAAGATAAGTAATGCATTACCCACTCCCACCTCACTTTTAAAAACCACAATCACATTCTGTACAGAGTAACTTAAAATGCATGAAATAAAGGAAGTTAAAAATTGAGTCTCAGAAGGGCTGGAGAGATGGTTCAGTGATTAACAGCTCTTGCAGAGGACCCGGGTTTAAGTTCCAGCACCCACATGACAGCTAACAACCATCTGTAACTCCAGTTCCAGGGAATCTGACATCTTCGTCTGACCTCCATGGGCACTGCACAACACGAGTGCACTTACATACACACATGCAGGCAATATACTTTTCACATAAAATAGTAAAAATATAAAATAAATTTAAAAATCTAGTCTCAGAATAGCTTCATGTTTTAAAATATTAACATATAAAAACTAACCTGAAATAGAATATTAAAATTCAAATACTGCATTTAGGCAAAACTTTCTCAAAGCATTCTAATTATAAAATAATTTAGAATTTTACCAACTGAATAAATGCAGACATTTTACTTTATAGCAAATGTCCCTACATTTTCTGAAAAGTGAAATTTAAGGGATCCCCAATAGAAAAGGCCAGCTCTCTTTGCCTGACAGCCCTTTAGGCAACTGATAAACCTGCCCACAAAGGACTTAATAAGTTGGCATTATAGTATGTGCCTAATATGAATGTGTGATCACCTAACTTTCCCCAGAAGACTTCAGAAAGACAGAGTCCAAAAAATAAATCTAAACAACGCAAGAAACAGGAAAGACATGTGAAAAAATTCCTATTTTTATCCTCAGGTAGGTATTAGGGGATACTGAATCTAAAAAATAAAAATAGGGCATATGAAAAAGGAACAGCATTAAAACATTCCTTGGAAATTAAATATATACAGAGAAAATTTAACAGCAGAGCTGGAAAAGAAAAAGAAAACAGATTTAAGGGCTAACTACAGAGTTTTTAAATTCAAGGTTCAATCCGGGAGGCCCATATGATAGGAATTTTAGAAAAACTAAGAGAAAATGGAGGTGAATTATCAAAAAGACCACACAAGGGCTGGAGGTGTGGCTCAAGGGTACTTGCTTAGCATATCCAAAGCCCTAGCACCCCATCCCATCCCAGTTTCCTACCCACAAGATAACAGAAAATTCCCCAAGATTAAGTAGGTAAATCTGCTAATTGAAAGGTTCCACCAAGTCAAATACTCACCAAACTACACATATCATTACTGTGATTCCAAAAAGTAAAAATGAGTCCCACAGAAATAAAGAGAATGGAATTCTCACAGTAACACAACAGAATATTGTCTTTAAAATTCTCAAACCACCAATCAAACAAGCATATTGACACATTCAGACCTAGTGAGCCTAGAAATCTGTACCTTCAATGCATCATTCCAGGAAGCTATGTCAGTAAACTATGACAGAAAGAAAAAGGGCAGACCCCGCCCCCCCGCCAAAAAAAATCAAGAAACAAATCACAGGATTAAACAAAGAGTGCCAATGTAAAACTAAGATTCAAATGGCTCTCCAAACCCCACAGCTCTGAACAGCAACAGTCTGAATGGCAGAAGAGAGATGTGGACACATGCAGCCCCTAGAGGACAACCACGACAAAGATATGGATAGATTCTGGGACATTTGAAAAGCTGAGCCTTTGAATTCTCACTGTGGTGGGTATGCCAAGATCTAAACAAGCTTGAAAATCAGGCAATGTAACCTGCAACATGAAAGCACAAAGTAGGGACTGTCCAGAGAAAGGAGGTGAGCAAAGGAGAGGAATGGGAGAGGCAGCTGGGGGAGACAAATAAGAATAAAATACACTGACACATATCTAAGAAAATGTCACAATGAAACCTGTTTGGTATGCTAACCAAATATTTAGTTTAAAAAAAAAAAAAAAGACAAGAGAAGGAGCTAGAAAGCAGCTTGCAAGCATGAGGACCTGAGTTCAATCCCCAGAACCCAAGTAAAAAGACTGGGTATGGTGGTCCACACTTACAATCAAGCTCTGGGGAAGTGGAAACAGGTGGATCTCTGCAGCTCACTGGCCAGCGGGTCTAGCACACTGGGTGAGCTCCAAGTCAATGAGAGGTGTCTCCAAAATACAGTGAATGGCATTCCTGAGGAACTTCCCCAAGGTTGCACTCTGGCTTCTACACGCATGTGCAAACATGCTCCTCCCCAACCCCCACACACATACTCACACAATTACAAAGGAAAAAAAAACAGTTACTAGCTATAGATAAAATAGGGTTCTAACAGAAAAAAATTATGATAGTCAACTGTGTAGTTCATCAGTAGGCAATATTTATACACATTATTTATTCAAGAAAAGTTTTATGAATATAAATCTATAATGAAAAGGATGTGGGAAGAAACACAGGAAAGGTGGGGATATAAGAAAAATGAATCCTGCCTAGCATAAAGGAACTCAAGAAATCTGATAATAAATCAAAATAGAATAGTGTAACATTTTAAATTAGGAAGGTAAATACTAGAACAAGCCATTAGCAATTAAAAATGCTTATCTCTGGGACATTAAGTTACAGGATGAAAGCCTGCTCTTCTTAAAAGTCTTTTCAGTCTATTTGATTTTTTAACTATATACAAGCATTATTTTAATTAAAAGAATGCTAAACAAAAAATTTTAATTTACAAATTGAGCATGAATTAAAACAGAGGATTAGGACCAGAAAGACATGAGAAGTAAGTCCTATCTACCAGCTACCTGCCATTTTTTAAGCTCCAGAATTGTTTAAAGGGCCTCCTGGAAGGAACTCTTTCAGTCCAATCTGGTTTCCTCTCAACCCAGGGCATGCCCCTCCACACGACTCCCATGAGCTAGGCTCAAATGACAGACTCAGAGATGCCTTATTAAATAAAAGTACTGACAGAGTCCAAGTGAATGATATATATATATATATCGTTAGCATAAACAGCAGCCTATATTAACATACCACAAGGCTGTTTCCTGAGATTCTATGATGATATTTAAATTTCTAAATGTGATAATGTTCAGTGAAAGACTACAATTCAGGGCCCCAGTTTCCAAAGCATTTTTGGGGGATGAATACAGTTTATCTCTTTCTTTGGATTTAAACTTGCTAATAGAGTCCACTTCTGGGTTTGTCCAGGTTGAAGATAACCAATAACTCAACAAAATGCAACAAAATTCAAATCAAATTCACTGAGAACAATTCTCAAGATCCCTTTAATCATGAAAGCGCAGTGTACAGGGATCAGGTACCTGAAATGAACCTAAGTACTTGTTCTGCTTAGAAGACCACAGATACATCACGAGTCCCCAGATTTATCAACAATCCCATGGTCTAGACTAAGCAACAAAGATATAGTCCATGACTACAGATCCTAGAAAAACATGATGAACTAAGATTCTTATAAAATTGTTCTCTTTCGGCTCATTGAAAATTCAGGAAGGTCAGGCACAATTGGTTCTGCATAAGCAATTCCTTTAAGCTTCACAGGTTACTCTATGCTACTAATTCACTGATTAAAACCTAGATATAAACCAAGTATGGTAGTGTGCACCTGTAGTCCTAGTTACTTTGGAGGCTGTGGCATGAGGAACCTTGAGCCTAGGAGTTCAGGGTCAGCCTGAGCAACACAGCAAGAACCTATCTCAAAGAAAAACAATCCAAATCCACACATAAATCACAATATATACCCTGAAAAAAAAAAAAAAGAAAGAAAGAAAGATTCTACAAATGTGCTTGGTTCTTAAAGGACAAGGGGTTCCAGGTCACAATGAAAATCACTCTCAGGACTCAGCATACCCATTTAAGCCAGCTCGCACGCGCATGTGTGTGTGTGTGTGTGTGTGTGTGTGTGTGTGTGTGTGTGTGTTTAAGAAACAGAATACAACTAAAAATGATTGCTTTATTTTTAAACTATTTTTAAAACATCATTCACAAATTTATCTATTTGGGTTAAGCAATAAAAAATGAATTTTCCTATGTTTCTGTGAGTTTAAAAGCTTAATATAGTACTTTTATTATAAACATAAACCTTTAAGAAAACAAAACTACCAGAAAAAGTATCAGCACCTTGACCTTCATAGTCTTACCATATTCTGCAAGTTTCTGTGTTTTAAAAAAAAGAAAAAAGACTACTATCCACTCAGTATGAAAACTTACTATATTATCAATCTTTTTTTTCTAATTAAATACACAAAATTCAAGTTATGAGTAGGAAAATAATCCCCTGAACACAGAGTACTCTAATGACCCATTCACTATTTAAAATCACAAACACTTTTAGCAGCAATCTATCTAAATACATACTAATGTATATAATGTTTGTTTTAAACATAAGGAAAATTAAAGATTTATTTTAGTAAATGTTAAATATTTACTAAATATCTGGTTACACCATTCTAAGCTCATAAACAATAAAAGCTAAAAGTATGCCTGATGTACGTTCACCTGCAGGCCTGACACTGAAACAAAACCAAATCAGTAAAGAACACTACAGTCATTTAATAAAGACTAGCAGAGTATCAATAAATGTAAAAATTATAATGCATTATATGATGAGTTTGAATGTAAAAACCACATATTTATTAAACATGACTAACTTAAAAACACAAAACTAATGTGTGTTAAAGTGCTGCTTTTCCAAGACCTGGGACAAAACTGTCATCCCAAAGTGAATTAAAAAAAAAAAAAAATGCAAAAACAGGCCACAGGGCAAATACTGATAAGAGATACGACAGGCACCACCCAAAATACAAATTGCTCCCTAATTAAATAATGCCATTCTCAAATGATATAAAACGGTAACCTTGACAGAATTTCTTTTTTGTATAAATATTCATAAGTTAAAAATGTCTCTAGATATTCTAAAGAACTGCAAATAATACCTCACAACAGCAGGTTAATGTCTATTTTAGGAAAAAAAAAGCACTAAAATTCTTTTCCATTGAAAGTCATTTATTTCTCTGGTATAAGTGAACAAGGTCACCACAACACTTGCCTCTTGTAGAACAATGTAAATAACAACAACGCATATACATCTTAAATTTGGTAGGTCATAAAATTTAGAATGCAGTCATCTAAGAAAATAAATAAATAAAAATTAAATATTTAACCTGACATTTGGTATTGACAAATCAGTAGTGTCAACTTCACATATGAAGGACAGCAGAGTCTGATTTTTTTTTTTCAATGCCTAATATGTCATGGTATTTGGGCTAAAGATATTTAGAATATTAAGTGTTTCCTTTTTGCTTAAAGGAAAACAATACAATCACCATCAAGCTGCTCTCGTACCTTATTTTAAGCTCGGGTGAAGCGACCTTTTGGTCCATGGCACAAGTTACATACCACATTTCCATCAAACAAACCTGGTGAGATTTCATATTTATAAGCTACAATACACACTGACCACGCTGTCAGTCCCTCACAGTTTTTTAGAAAAATATCTACATTTGTCCTTATGGATGTCAAAATGTTACACCATCATTTGTTTAAAAAAAAAAAAAGATGCACATTCATACCGTGAAGTTATTAGGAAAATACTCTTGCAAATAAACTATATAAAGATAAAATACACTTCAAAAGTATGTGGGTTGTTTGTTTTACAATATTCTATAAAGTGCAGAGAAATCCTAAGTAAAGGGAAAAACTACTCCCTATAACAAGTTGAATTACAGCAGCTTTTGCATAGCAATACTTAGGGGTAGTTGGACACTTCGGTTTCCTCAAGAAGAGGATGGAAGAGGGTCTCCCGGTTCAGATTGTGTCTTGGCCATAAGTCTGCTTTCTTCAGGAATGGTTACTGATGCCGAATCTCCATTAAGTGTGTTTCCTGAACAGTGAAGAGGTCCTGTGAAGAAAGTGATTAAAAGGTTAAACATCTTAGTAATGTTAACGCCAGTCCTCTCTGAAAGAATATTTCAAGTCTGTTCAGGAAAATAAAATTTCTTTAGTTTCCTGTTAATCTTTCATTTGTGTGCTTACCAATCTAACTTTTCTACTACTGACAGTCATGAGAAGAAACTTCAGCGTTCATAAGATACATTATGTAATTAACTGAAGTAGAGGTTTGTGTGTTATACACTGCTAGGACCAAGGCTGGTATATTATGGGCCATTAATGCATATTTGCTGAATTATTTAACCTTTCCTAACTATTCCTTTTCAGCCTCATTATCTCTATGCTGTTAGTATTGTCCTTGTTTTTGGCAAAGATCCAAAAACAGTTCTATGCTTTTTCCAAGATCACACAATTTGAAGCAGAATGGAGACTTTCCAAGCAAAGCTAACAAGATAACCTACGCTGGAAGTTCTCCCTTTTATATGGAACACAGCCATCACTGCGACTCCTCCAATGAACACAGCTACACAGCTGAACGCACTGGCAGCAGCATCCATTCCAAGGCAGTAGTAGTTCCACATGTACTGTCTGAATTTACCAAGACCATTTCTTTTTCTTTTGGGGGGGGCGGGGGAGGGGCTCTTTATTTAGTTTTGTTCTTTGAGACAAAGTCTCACTCTATAGCCCAGGGTGGCCTGGAACTCAGGACATAGGCCAAGCTAGCCTCAAACTCACAGTAATTCTGACTCAGCCTCCCAAGTACCACCAAGTCTCATTTATTTTAACAAGAAGAATATTCTCATATAAGGACTTTCAACCGGATTAGAGTTGGAGTACAGTTGGTGGCGTACATGAAGGAGGCCCTGGGTCCAATTCCCAGCACTGAGTAAATCAGGTCTGGTAGTATATCCTAGCACTAGCTCAGGAGGTGAGGCAGGAGGACCAGGAACTCAAGGTCATCCTCCTCTACAGAAAGAGTTGGAGGTCAGCCTGGGTCACAGGAGACTCTGTCTTAACAAAAAGAGGGCAGAAAGAAACTTAAGGATGATGTTTCTCACCCTGAAGACTGGGTGAGCTGAGTTTTATGTATATATGTATTCATATGTACATGTCACTGACTTGATAAAAGTCCTAATGGGCATTTAAGAATGCCTTTGCCTTCTAAATCTCTGAAAATGAGCCAGACATGATGATACATGCCTATAGTCTAATACTGGAGAGACAGAGGCTGGAGGCCTGCAAAGATCTCAAGGTTAGACTAGTCCATGAATCAGGTTCAAGGCCAGCCAGAACTTGTCTCAAAAAAGAAAAACTGGGGGTGGGGGCTGGAGAAATGGCTCAGCAGTTAAGAGTACTAGCTGCTCTTGCCCATATGGCAGCTAACAACCCTCAGTAACTCCAGTTCCAGGGGACCTGATGCCCTCTTCTGACTTCCATGGGTATTGCATGACATGGTACACCTGCCTACATGCAGGCATACTCATACACATAAATAAAAATAATAAAATATTTTTTAATGGACTAGGGAAATGGTTCATCAATTAAGTCATTTACTGCACAAGCATAAAGACCTGGCAGGTATGATGGCTCGCCTGTAATTCCAGCCTCAGAAAATGGAGAAAAGGGATCCCTAGAGCAAGCTGACTAGACTAGCCATATTTGCAAGCTCTGGGTTTAAGAGATCATGCCCCAAAAGAAGCCAGGCATGTTTTTACTCCTAGCACTTGGAGGTAGAGGCAGGTCGATCTATTAGTTCAAGGTCCACGTGTTCTACATAGTGAGATACTGCCTCACACACAAAAAAAGAATAAGGTGGAAAAGCAATATAGGAAGATCTCCAAGATCTCCAACATCAACCTTGGGCCCCAGCACATACATGAACCCACAAACACACCCACACCACATACATAAACACATGAAAAAGAAGAAAAGAAATTGAAAATACATCTGAAATGGTCGGCAGTTCTGCCTGGAATCATCTTCATTTGATGAAGTCTACATCTTCCTTCAATTCTGCCTGCTTAACTTTCTTAAGTGAAACAACTCTATCATGTTGTCAATATAATCAAATACTACAAATGTACTGTCACCATTTCTCCCCATCAGTTATACTATTCTTTAGCTGTCTGAAGAATCTAACCACCATTTAGTGTGCCATTTAGTGTGCAAATCAAATCTCTGTTCCACACAACTGACCTCAAATGAAGTCTTGGAGAACAACATGTTCCTTAATTAGGAACTGTTCTGCAAGCTTCATGGGAGGTAATAACATATTTTAAAAAGTAACAAACAGTCTACTTGGGAGGCAGAGTCAGGTGGATGTCTGTGAGACCAAGACCAGCCTGGTCTATGTAGCCAGTTCTAGGCCAGCTGGTTATAGGAAGACCCTGTCTCAAAAAAAAAAAAAAAAAAAAAAAAAAAAACAAAAAATCTTTTTTTAAAAGAGTTCAAGGCCAGCTTGGTCTACATAGTGAGTTCCAGGCCAGCTCAGGCTACTGGGAGATTCTGCCTCAAAAAAAAAAAAAAAAAAAAAAAAAAAAATCAAAACAGTAAGTCTATTCTTGAAGATGCAATCATAAAACCATATTTGTATTGCCTGGAAATCACGGTTCTTACAATCAAAGTAGATACTTTGTCAAAAATTTTGCTCCTTAGAGGCAAATAGAAATTTTAACAAATCACTAAAACTTCCTAAAATCACAGTATGCTGTCTCTGTAATGCGACAGAAAAAGGCATAGGAATGAACGTTATAATAATTCATTACTACCACCACACAAAATTATTCAGCCATTTCAAGACAGCTAAGTAATGAAGCATAAGTGATTGTTTTCTTTGGAGTTAGACCTTGCCTTTATTTTCCTCTAGAAGTCTATCTTTAATTCATGCTTTCGAGATGTTTTAAAATATGAATGTAGTAAGTAAAAGACTATGATACCCAATAAATACATCTCTAGATACAGTATTTACAGAGCAATCCTCAGTACCTCTTAACAAAGCTGTGAGGAAGAGGTCATGTAAGCAGCTGCAACTGTTGGAGGTGCAGGGCTCACTTCCCTCTAAACTGAGGAATTTATCCAGTGTTCAATGACAGTATGCTTCATTCTCAGAAATTACAGGAACCTGTGACAATTTTGCTAGAGGCCACAGAAAGCCACAGAACCTGTCTAACTTACTGTCTGGGTCCTCTGGGGGAGTATCATTACAAGAGTCTATATCCGAGTAGGTTCTTCGGCGTCGCTGAGAAAGTCGGTGAAATGTTGACACTGGTTCTTTGACGGAGTAGCTACTCCTGCAAATTAAATGAAGAGCATTAAGTTATAAGGTGCTAACTAACACCTTTTCCTAGTTAGGACTTTAAATGACTTCTCTTCAGCAACATTCTCTTCATTCAGAACTCAGAAGTGCAAGCTGGGGATTCTACTTGGACTTCAGCCTGGAGAAGATAGCTCTGAACTGAACCAAACAGGAAAGGAACACAGGAAGAAGTGACTTCTAGACAGAGGGTCCAGTGAGGCAGTGACACATCAAGTGGCTTGCAAATATTTGAAAATTAAGTTATGGAGTTTAAAAGTGCATACACCTAAACTCAATCTAAATCTGATGAATGACAAAAAGCTTAGAGAAGATGTTAGAGGTAAACTCAACAGAAACAGAAGACAAAGATGGCAAAATGGAGGCTAGATGAAACACTTTTAGAGGCTGGGCATGTAGCTGAGTTGGTACAGTGTCTTGTCTGGCATGATGCCCTGAGTTTAATCCCCAGCACTGCATAAACCAGCTTAGCAGCTCACACCTGTAATCCCAGTACTGGAGAGGTAAAGGCAGGAAGTTTTGGAGTTCAAGGTCATTTTAGACAATATAGCCAGTTTGAAACCAGCCTAGGCTACAGAAGATCCTGTCTGAAAAACAAAACAAGCAAAATACTATTTTAAAAAATTAGTCTACAGAGCCAGGTGCGGCAGCATACACCTTTAATCCCCACACTCAGGAGGCGGAGAGAGGTGGGAACTCTGAGAGTGAAGTCAGTTTGAGCTACATTGTTTGTTCCAGGCCATCTGGGGCTACAAAATCTGCCACCCCAAAGAAAAGAAAAATCACTCTAGGGGCTAGAGAGATGGCTCAGCAATTAAGAGCAAGTGCTGGCTGCTCTTGAACAGGACCGAGGTTTGGTTCTCAGCACCCACATGAAAGCTAACATCCATCCATAACTCCAGTTCCAGAGGATCTGATGCCCTCTTCTGGCCTCTATAGGCACTGCAAGACACAGATACACATACACGCAGGCAAAACACTCTCATACATATAAAATAAAAATAAATAAAAAATTTTAAAACAAAAATCAGTCTAAAAATGTCAATAGAGGGATAAATCACTATTACCTGCCAGCACTTCAGCTTCTATTTTACAACAGCCCAACATTACTGTACTTAGCACTACCTTGATACATCAAGAAAAAATACTAGTTTTTACTTTTTATACCTTCTTTCATAGGGCAAAAAGAATTAAATACAGCTTAAAAATATTTCTATCCTAAAAATAAAAGGTTGTCACCAAATGACTTAGCTTCCATTTTTCTGTAAAGTTCAGTTAAAATGCTTTATACTCAGG